AGCCATAACATCAGCACAAATAGCTGTTCCGATGAGTAACCAGCATTTGGGATAAGCCCTTCCTTTAACTACGGCAGACAGGGCGCCAGCAGCCTCGAGGAGCCCAGCGGGCTCCCCGCGACGGCCCTGGCAGGAGCAGAGGGGCCGGTAGACCCCCTCACACTGACGTTTCGGCCTCGCGCGGGCCGCGAGGTCTTCACTCACGACGGGCTGTGCTGGTGCAGGAGGTTCGCCCTGCTGACTGGTAGCTAACAGGCAGCACAACCCGAGGGGCAATCGTGACAGCAACCGTTTGTCTTGCAGCGTAAGGAAAACTCTACAGATGACCCTGCATTTCACGCTGTTTGGGTTATGGGTGACCCAAGTTCTGACAGGCGTCCTGCACGCCTACAGCCCTCGAGTCTGCCTCACCCCCTACCTTGCCGTCCCCACCTTCAAGGCTTCACTAGTCGCCAGTTTCCCTTACGTCTTCTCCAGCCCCCCACCTTGCCCTCCTTCAAAACCTCTACAGTTGCTGATGTTCACACGGCAATACTGCTTGCAAAAATCTCCATGCACTGAAGAACCTCAGAGTTTTTCATTACTCATATACCTTTTAGAAGCAGTCTGTAACAGATCTCCTACCCAACATTTTAGCAGTATTTGCCTCTCATTAAGAGATGGCTTCTTGCCATCTCTAGATTTTTTTTCATTTTTATGCTATCCTTCTTATGGGCTTTAAGTGGTGAACTTGCAGCAGATGTGGAGCAGCAGGTTTCGTGAACTGCTTGCACTGCTGCTGGTTGTACAAACCTTGCAGAATGGCAGGAATGAACTATGTGCAAAAGGCTTTTTGCTGTAGTTTGGTTGCCCCATTCTGCTCTCACAGGGTAATGATGATACGTCCAAGCTCAGGCGTTAGGCTTAGGCTACAGGGCAGCTGCAGCTGGCATTGCCAGAAGCCAGGCCTGTGAAATGCAGCGTATTTTAAATTTGGCCCATATTTCGGCAGGGAGTGTATCCCTGGAGTGATTTACAGTCCTTTCTTGAGCTAAAAAGTCACTTGGTTGAAATGGTTTTGTAGTCAAATACATGTTGTGGGCAGAGGAAGAGAGATTTTTTAAT